GGGGTAGTGGGAAGAGGGGGGAGGGTAGTGGGAGCAGGAGGAAGAGGAGGACAGACAGGAGGACCGGGAGAGGCAGCAGCTGGCACACAGGAAGCAGACGGGGTTAACCACATCTGAGGCTCTGCCTGGTGACTCATAGCAGGAGAGCAGGCCAAGGTGGTTCAGAGAGCTTGTGAAGCAGTGATTAATTAGCAGAGGTCACAGTGGCTCTGGGGCAGTAGCCTGCACTCTAGTCTCAGCAAAGAGAAGGAAACGAATAGTGAGAAAACGCTCTTCATTCCCCTATCTAAGTGATCAGCATTTGTCCACAAACAGCCTCCCTGAGATGGACACCTCTTCCGAATCCCCAACTCCTGCTCCCAGGGGCATCCAAACTTTCTGCTTTCAGTCATCATCAATGCCTAGTTATACATCTCCAGAACATGCTAACACAATGCTTACCATTGAGTTGCTGAAAAGCTGCATGTCCCTGGAAAACTATTCCGCCAACGTCCCCACCTTACCTCTCCCCTTGCCTTCAGCAAGCTCTTTTGGAGCTCAGGTTCCACGCTGGCCTCAAGAACGGCTAAAACTCTTACTTCCTGTGAGAGGAAATGCCTTGCACACACTAGGCAGTGAAATACATCTTGTGTTTAAAGACATTCTTTTCAAATGATTGAAAGCAGGATAATAAGTAATAACTGCATTGTGTTTTTAAATGTTTTCCTAATTCACATACAACGCTCATAATCATAAAATTCTGCTACGTTTATGAAAAATTTTGTGAAGGAATAAACTGTATCTTACCAGCAATTCTCGTCTGAGCAATAGAACAGGGATCCTGGAAGCGTTCCTTCAGCACACCAGGCACCGCTCTGCATATCTACAGCATCAGGCCAAACAGAAAGAGAAGAATAATACAGAAATACGGATGATATTTTCAAAAGAGAAAGCGTTCTTCTAAATGATCTCGCTGCCGTTTTCCTGCCCCTCCTCAATGCCTAAGCTTCTGTGTCCACTTTCACTGTCCACTGCGGTCTTGCCTGACCCCCAACTGACATGAAGAACATCATCCAGTCCTTAGATGGCCTGCTTCTGTACAACATTTAATGCTGCCGCTCCCTCTGCCTTGATTCTCTTAGTATTTTACAATCGTGATTTCACTCCCACCTCTGTGACAGATATTCTATGCTTGTCTCTGGCCTCTCTCCCTGGGTCCTGGTTTCTAATTGCTTCATTTATCAAATGGGGTTTTAAGAGACTGATGACTTTTCAAAACAGATCTTCAGTCATACTCTTCCTGTCAACTGTATATTCAGATATGTCCAAATGTGTATTCATCACCTGTCTCCCTAACATGCTCTTCACTCTCTGTCTCCTCTTAGCTCCTGTCATTTATGCTTCTTTTCCCTGCAATGTCTTTCCCTCCAATCCTCCATCTGACTAATACTCATTCATCTTTAATAAATTAGGTTGGATATGAATTCCACAAAACCTTCCACGGCTACCACCCAAAGTTAGGTAGGTTCTCCACTTATATATTCCCACAGATACCTCCTTGTTACAATTGCTTATCTACCTGTCTCACCCACAACAAGCTCTTTGGGTTAAGAGGCATTTTCATACTCTTGGCTACATTTCCAGTTCTTAAAATGGTACCTGGCATAAAATGAGAGCCCAGTAAAATCCTATTAAGCAAATAAAAGCATGAGTGAATGAAAAATTCCAGATTAATATTTCCTAAAATATATCTGTTGAAATTCTTTACATGATAAGCTTTGCTTTTGCTTGGTCTTAGATTGTCATAATTCACATAATTAGCGTAGAATCTACGTAAAGTCCTGTGATAAAGGAAGGTCTGTCTTATACTGTGCTCCCAAAGTGACCACCAGGCCCTATTCTACACAATACCCGTTGACGTCCTCTGCGTTAAATAAATACATGTGCTCCAACTGAATATGCACAAGCTGAGTCTGGCATGTTGGACACGGGGCCAACATGTCTGAAAAACAGCAAGGAGAGAGGGTAACAGACGAAGTCAGAGAGCTAACAGGAAGCCAGAACACGATCAGCCTCATAAGCCACCTTAAGGGCTTTGGCCATCACTCTGAATGAGAGGGAATACTATTAGTGGGTTTTTCTCAGGGGATTTACTTGACCTGAACGATTCTTAACAAATACTTTGGTTGCTTTGTTAAGAAGAGACGGACAGAGGGGGAACTAAGATAGCGGAGGAACAGGATGGGGAGACCACTTTCTCCCCTACAGATTCATCGAAAGAACAACTGAACGCTGAGCAAACTCCACAAAACAACTTCATATGGCTAGCAGAGGACATCAGGAGCCCAGAAAAGCAGCCCATTGTCTTCGAAAGGAGGTAGGACAAAATATAAAAGATAAAAAGAGAGACAAAAGAGTTAGGGACGGAGACCTGTCCCGGGAAGGGAGTCGTAATAGAGGAAGTTTCCAACAACTCAGTGGCCATGGAGGCAGTGAGAAGTGGCCAAGTTTATGAAATTTTGCAAACCTAAGAAAAGATGAAAGAATTGCCCAGGGAATACCCACATGCCACTCAGTATCAACAAGTGTTAAAATTGCTCCCAGTGCCTTATTGTGTATCTACTCATGCAGCCTTCCATTCAAACCGTCCATCAAGGAGACAGGAATTTTGAAAGAGAAGCTGATGATGGTGACTCCAGTGTTTATTCATTTGTTTGCTTTTCACTGAGATATAATTCACACGTCGTAAAACTGAGTCCAGAGTCTTGGCACAAAACCATAATAAGGATGTGATTACCAGTCACTGAGGTGGTAAAAGTAAACTAAGACCCCAGAGGGAGGTGGAGTCAGATACTCAGTCTTGTATGTTAGTATCATTTGCTTGTTCAGTTCAGTTCAGTTCAGTCGCTCAGTCGTGTCCAACTCTTTGCGACCCCATGAATCGCAGCACGCCAGGCCTCCCTGTCCATCACCAACTCCCGGAGTTTACTCAAACTCATGTCCATCGAGTCGGTGATGCCATCCAGCCATCTCATCCTCTGTCGTCCCCTTCTCCTCCTGCCCCCAATCCCTCCCAGCATCAGGGTCTTTTCCAATGAGTCAACTCTTCACATGAGGTGGCCAAAGTATTGGAGTTTCAGCTTTAGCATCAGTCCTTCCAGTGAACACCCAGAACTGATCTCCTTTAGGTATCATAGATATCTAAGTACAGATGCTCAGCAAGCAGCCGTGATGAAGTCTGAGTGTGTAGAGAGGTTGAAGCCAGAGATGCAGCTGTGAGTCATCGTAACAGTGACCCCTCAAGATAGTAGTTCTCAAGCAGAGAGGCTAGATCAATAAAGCACCTAAATCATGAGATATAGAAGGATGGCTATCATTTTTAAAGGATGGAGAGGAAGAAAAATGACTGATATGGGTCCTGTCCAAGTCAAGACAGAAACATATCTGTTCAGTGTCCCAGACAGACTTCTTACTGAGTATGTGCTCAGCTGCCCAGTCATGTCTGACTCTTTGCAACACCACAAACCGCAGCCTGCCAAGCTCCTCTGTCCATGGGCTTTTCCAGGTAAGAATACAGGAGTGGGTTGCCATTTCCTGCTCCAGGGGATCTTCCCAACCCAGGGGTCAAACCTGGGTCTCCTGCATCTCCTGCATTGGCAGGTGGATTCTTTACCACTGTGCCACTTGGGAAGCCCCATTATGCTATGTGCCCAAGCCAAAATAAATAGAAACCTATTACTTTACCTCTGATTCAATTGCAAAAGAAGCAATGGTATGAGAAAAAGGACTTTATCTTAGTCATATTGGTAGCCACATACCATTACAACCTACTTGGAACCCAGTAAATACATGTTGAATGGATAAAACCATTTAAAATAAATCTATATATATGAAAAGTCACATGCAACATCACAAAGTCATTTTAATGCTTTCATTTTTCAGAGCATAATTATTAGCATTTTATGCCTAATTCTAATATATACTCATTATTTAATATAGTATATAACATATAAATCTTCTTTGCCAAAAAATCCCAAGTGAAATAAGTATTCTCTGAGAACATAAGTTTCCATCTATGACAGACGAAAAAAACATAATTACCAATACGAGTAAGCATTAGTAAAATGTGCCTATATTTGGGTATACTTAAAACAGTTACATAATCCCACTTCTTTGAGAACAAAATCAATAAACATGAGAAAGATATCACAGTAATTCTTAATGCACACCTTATTCCATGATGAATTTACAGTTCTTAAACTCTCTGAAACTTTTTCTCTTTCATGTAAACTCAGACTTTTATCTGAAAGCATTTCCAATTCAGTTCTATTCAGCCACTTGAGTTTCTCAGCTTGAACATCCATCTCCTGGGTTAAGTCCTAAAGGAGTCAGAAGAGACGTATGGTTAAAAGGTTGTCACACCAGCGAAAGATCAAGAACTGTGTTAGAAATCTCTATGGGAAATAGTCCTATAAATGTAGACCTTTAATTTCTTAAATGGAAAATAAACTTCTAAGAAGCCTGAGTTGACGTTGCTGCTGCTGCTGCTAAGTCACGTCAGTCGTGTCCGACTCTGTGCAACCTCATAGACTGCAGCCCACCAGGCTCCCTGGGATTCTCCAGGCAAGAACACTGGAGTGGGTTGCCAGTAACAAACTGTAATTAATCTGGGAATGAACTCCCACTTTCAGTATGCACTGTGTGAACATGAATTACTACTCCAAACTCTGCACCTCTTAACAGGGTCATATAAAATCATGTTTACATTGACAACTTAATATTCTGTTCTGAGAAAAATAATAAAAAATGATTATTCTAATGAAAGGCCAAAAACCCCCAGAAACAACAGAAGCATTTTATGTGTGCATGTCTACCTATCCCAGTATACTATCCTAATCCTTAAGACTGATCCCAAATTGTTTACAAAAGGCATATTCCAAGAAAACTACTGAAAGTTTTATAATAAATACTAGCTATTTATTAAACTAACTCAACTAACTAAACTAACTAAACTCTAAAAACAAGCTTGTCAGATATTTGTCAGATTTTGAAATGAAAACTTAATAACCACTTGCCATGTATTTTTCATCGGTATTAAAATTTTCTTTCCTGAAACACCTCAATCATATTCCTTTAGACAAAATCTCTAATCAGATTAGTGGGTATCATTTTAGGTATTCTTTGGTGCATGCATGTGTACGTATCTATACTCACACACAATTTCTTTTGTTTAATAAAAATGTGAGCTCATATTGCTTATTGCTCTACAAGTACTTTAATTCTTAACACAAAAAATATAAAATTTGTGGATATAAAAATATGGATATTTGGGTATATTATTAATAACATACGTATATACCTTTATGTATTTTTATATGTTGTATACCTATACAATTTTAAACAATTCTTGCTGGTTGCAGATCAACAAAGAAAATTTAAATAATACAACTGTGACACAAAGTCCATAATAAGCTGCAGTAACTCTCAAGTCACTTGGAGTCTTCTTGTATAACTCATTTTATAGATAGTAATCAGTAATTAATAATCTTCTAAACTTGAAAGGAAAAAACTGTACTTCACAGCATTATTATATTCTAAAATGATGATGTCTGTTTAAGACATTCCAAAATCCTTTAGTTCAATACTTAGGCCCACATGACATCACTTTTACATGAGTGAAGCCTTACCTCTGCAATGATGAAATAACAGTTGCTCTTTAAAATTAAAAAAAAAAAAAAGATATTCCTCTTTAAAGTTCACCACTCTTACCACAAATACAAAGCTTCTTCCCCTTTTCTTCTTTAGTCATGCAACATATTATTTTTAGTGTAAATGTTCATGCATCAAAAAAGCATCAGCAAAAATAGAGACAAATATATCACTTACTGTTAATTCTTGCAGGTTTTCTTCCAGTTCAGTAGTTGATCTTTTTTGTACAGCATTCTCAGCCTTTGTTAACCAACAGATAATTTCATCTAGTCTTTTTCTATAGTCCATCACCTGCTTACTTTCTCCTTTTAGCCTAAAAGGACATATTATTTAAAAATATTGAGAAAACTAACCAATTAACTAGAATATTATATATCTACATTGGATATTCTGACTATGCCACACACAAAATAATAATTATCTTAATATGTATCAATTATTTTAACATGCATTTCTAAATGAGTATTTATAGTAATGCATACATTTTGCAAGGTTATATGCAAATATAAGAATAAGATTTCTTCCTTCATTAAATTAAAAAACATTGAAACTAAAGAATGTTGTCTTCTTTCATCATAAAAACTATGTAGAAATCTAATACAAAGTACTTTTTAAAGCTAGACACCACAATACAGCATAATGGAGGCTTTAAGAAGAAAACATGAAAAATGTCTTAATCTAAAATAATAAGGAAAAATACATAATTCTCTTTGAGTACTCCATGGAGATAGAAAGGTATCATTATATGACTTTCACATTAGGGGGCAACTATTACTCTACTTTATTCATAGGAAAGAAAGAGCAAGAACAAGGCAAGATACCAAAAGTGGGAAATTTTTAGAAATATTAGGAAAGACAAGAAAAATGGGAATTTGATGAGCTCATTAAAATGAGTATTATATTTGAATATAGCACCAAGTTACAAAAAAAGGGTCTAGAAAAAAACAAAGCCAAAGTTTTAAAGGACATAAGGAAACAGTCATATGAATATAAAAAAGAAACTGCCTTAATTACATCTTTTAATGTTATAAGAATAACATTTATAATTACATAAACCATCTGTCAAAAGATGAGAATATGATTAGAACTCATTTGACAAACAAGATTATGTATTTTTAAGAAAGAGTTTGAAAGCTATTTAGAACTTGGTGGTGGTATCACTTCTATAGCTCCTGCTATTAGCTGCTGGCTTAAAAATAGAATGCAATTTTTTAAATGAATTACATTATGTCATCCCTAATAAGAATTTACATTTTTATGGCTATAATATTTTCTTTTTAATCACAAATACACCTAACACAATGATGCAATACATATAGAATAACATGCTAAATAAATCTTATATATTTAATAGAGAGTCAGTGATATTTGAAGGAGAGTATTTTAATGTTTAAAAATCTAATAAGGAAAAGGGGGAGGAATAAATTAGGTGTTTGGGATTAACATATACACACTACCATGTATAAAATAAACAAGCAACAAGGATCTACTCTATAGCACAGGGAACTATATTCAGTATTTTGTAATAAAGTATAAGAGACAAGAATCTAAAAAGAATAGATATATATATATATGTATATGTATAACTGAATCACTTTTGTGATACACCTGAAATTAACACAACATTGTAAATAACCTTTAATTGAAAAAAATTAATGATAATCACTACAGAATCGTATCTTTCCCCAGCAGCTCAGTCGGTAAAGAATCTGCCTACAATGCAGGAGACCAGGGTTCGATCGCTGGGTTGGAAAGATCCCCTGGTGAAGGAAATGGCAACCCACTCCAGTATTCTTGCCTGGAAAATCCCATGGACAGAGGAGACTAGCGGGCCAGGCCAAGAGGCTGCAAGTGTCGGACACAACTTAGAGACTAAACTCCAGAGTATCGTAAGTTTTCATTTTTAAGTATTCATCAGGAGAGAACACTGCTTCAAGATTTAAATAAATAAATAAAGCTATATATGAATTGTTTAGACTACCAGAACCCAAACAGGTAATTCACCCTCTGTATCAAAGAGTCTTTAAATAACAACTGGGGAAACAATGAAAATACTACTATCGACCTTGTGTTTCAAAAAAAAGGAGCAATTTAAATTTCCAGTATTTCATAATCACAACTGATGGCATATTTTGAAAATATATCTATGAGGAAAACTAACATTATCAAGTAATTTCAATAAGACATATTTGAGTCACACAAAATTTTCATCTGCAAACTAGCTAAATATAATCTACATTTGAAATGTTATCACTAAGTAAAAACAAGTTATAAATTCATGTTCAAACAGTAGATAACAATTGCTCATTAAGGAATAACACCATAAGTTGCTGAACTGTGCAAATATTTAACAACAGACACTCAATACAAAAATAAATTGAGCTATTTCTCAGTGAGTAATAACAGTACACATAACAAGCCCATAAAATTGCAAGGTGACCCCAATTTAAGACAAATTCAAACCTAAAGTTAAACATGAATTTATGAAAACAAATATTGTTTTAGTTAAAATACAAGATGCTAGAAAAGAGGTTCATTATTCTTTCCTCTTCTCAAAAAAAATGAGTCGAGCATCTTTTAGCTTCACCATGTCAGTCCCAGAAGCAATAATTACCACATTCCACAGAGATCCATTTGAAATTGATTAGGGAAATTTCTTCAGTTATTGCTAATACCATACCAGCAAGTACATCTTTTTTCTTAAGAAGACCTGGAAGAGATCATTCTCAAGCTAGAGGGACTCTCCCTGCTGACTCATTCAGTTTAGTTGAGTTGCTCAGTCGTGTCCGACTATTTGTGACCCCATAGACTACAGCATGCCAGGCTTCCCTGTCCATCACCAACTCCCAGAGCTTGCTCAAACTCATGTCCATTGAGTCGGTGATGCCATCCAACCATCTCATCTTCTGTCGTCCCCTTCTCCTCCTGCCTTCAATCTTTCCCAGCATCAGGGTCTCTTCTAAGGAGTCAGTTCTTTGCATCAGGTGACCAAAGTATTGGAGTTTTAGCTTCAGCATCAGTCCTTCCAATGAATATTCAGGACCAATTTCCTTTAGGATAGACTGGTTGGATCTCCTGCCAGTGCCGACTCATTAGCATGACACACAAAATCCTACGGGACTCCCCACCCTGGCCCTGGTCCCCCAAGCCCTTCTCACCATCCAACCGTCACAGATTTCTTACTCAATCCCACTATTTCATGCCTCCCACCTTGCCTGTTCTGTATCTTTTCCCTACAAGACCATCCCTAAAAAGAATTTATAGGAAATTGCTATAAATTCTTCAAAACCAGCTTCAGGATTCCTCCGCTGGATGTCTAAATTCCACAGCCCATCATCCCTGAGTCTATGACAACACACTATCTTCTTATAATAATAATGTGCCCTTTAATCACATCAGATTACTTTTTCCTTTAAACATTTTCTTCACCATAGTCCCTCTGAGTTCCTTAGTCATACTTGTATCCCCTGTGCTAAATACAAAGTTCATAAATACTGATCAAATCATTCAATCAATCATTGGCAAAACTCAGCAATATCATGCTTGGAGAATATGTCATAGGATAGCTTACAACAACAGAACTAGATATTTTAAATGTTTAGTATCAATAGATAGGGCATAAGCTTTTTACAAAAAGTATCTCCTTTAATCCTCATGACACTCCTTTGAGAAGATACCTCAGTTCTCATTCACAGAGGAGGAAACAGCCAGAGAGTTCTGAGGTCTACCCACCTTTTACACACACAGTATTCAAGAGATTAAGTACTGTCACTACGAATGGATGAGGAAGCTGTGGTACATATACACCATGGAATATTACTCAGCCATTAAAAAGAATTCATTTGAATCAGTTCTAATGAGATGGATCACTAACTTTCTATGAGACCTTGGACAGTTATTAATACTTCACTTCTCCACTCTGAGCCTCAGTTTCCAAAGCTGTACAATGGATCTAAATAGCCCCCTCACAGGGTAGTTGTGAGGATTAAATGAGGCCAAATGCTGTCTTTGCCACAAGGAAACCTCTCAATCAAGACACACAAACTATGATTTGACTTTTTACCAAACCACACAAAATAAAAGATGATGTTAGTCTATTAACAGTTGCCAGGACTGCCCTGGTGGTCCAGTGGTAAAGAATCCAGCTGCCAATGCAGGGAACATGAGTTCCATCCCTGGTCCAGGAAGATCCCACGTGCCATGGAGCAGTTAAGTACATGTGCCACAAATACTGAACTCTCACTCTGAAGCCCACGAGCCACAAATACTGAAGCTCGCGTGCCCTTAGAGCCTGTGCTCCACAACAAGAGAAGCCACCACAATAAAAAGGCTGCACACTGCAACTAGAGAGTAGCCCCTGCTTGCTGCAACTAGAGAAAAGTTGACCAAGGAACACCAAAGACCCAGCACAGCCAAAAATTTTAAATAAACAAATAAACACTTTTCTAAAGTAGGCAAAAGCTCTTTTTGCAACAAGCATGTATTATTTTTACAATAAAAGAGAATAAATCTTTAAAAAGTAGCCACAAGCCAAATACTCAAAGTTCAATATTTTGTGTTATACTATAACACTGAACTTGATAAAGTATTTGATTGGCCTTTAACAAAACAATAGTTTATCGCTAAAATAATATATCATCAAATATATATATATATATATATATATATCATCTGTTAAAATTATCAGAAAAAAATCACGGAGATTTTAAACCAAAAGTATCATTAACTCACCCTCTCAAGATGAAATGCATTAAACAAAATAGGAATCATCCATTAAATCCTGACTGTCTCAAACATAATTTCAAATAATGGTAAAGCAATACATGAAATAATATATAGAATGTTGAGTATTATAGTCACTGGTAATTAAACATGTTTGCAACCAGAAGACACCCTAGTATGAATAATATGTGGGGCAGTGCAACATAATTTGACATAAAAACACAATAATGAATTATATTTACTATGTCATATAGATGAGGAACTATATTATGTACACAGCACTGACATATAAAGACACGGGCACCCTTAGACACCAAGAATTCCTCAGTGAGACAGATTCCTCATCAAGACCCAGAGACCCTGTCGGGAAGCAAGAGGAAAAAAAGAGGAATGAAGATTTTTTTTGACATACATGAGTAGAAAAGTTAGACTACGGATGGCCTTTTAAACACAAAAATACAGAACGTGGACAGTGGAGGTCTTAAACGTCAACAAAACTCTTGTAATGTGAGAGCAAAAAGTGAAAGTGTTAGTCGTGTCTGACTCTCTGCAACCCCAAGGACTGTAGCCCGCCAGGATCCTCGGTCCATGGGATGCTGCAGGCAAGAATACTGGAGTAGCCATACCCTCCCCCTAATAGCAGATGATAAAAAGAACTTGGAACTCATCATCTTGCATCTCAAAAGGTTCTGCCCAAATACCTTCACCCCGTGCCCTTGAGTTGTCACGGCTTAATCACCTTGGCCGCCGATCCTTCACTTCTGCAGCGATTGCACCCCAGCGTTGGTTTAAACCTGCCAGCTTGTCCTTCAAGAAGCTTCCATCTGTCGGGGAGAGTTTCTGTATAATCCCATCCCCCGTCCTGTTTAGTGCTGCAAAACTGGGCTGGTGGCTGCTGATCCCCTCCTCGAGTTCCTGTAACAGAGAACCACTCAAGATTAACTCCACTGCTAAATTAAACTGTTCTGAGGTAGTGAATCCATTTAGGTGCCACAGCGTGGTGTCAATATAAGTGTTAGAGAAACAAAGCCCTGGAAAGATATTTTATGTATATGAAAAAGGCATTTTTAACACTTTAATTACATTTCAATCAGCAGATTAAATGAAATCTATTTTGAAATCTAACCCACTCTTATGAATGTCATCAGGCAAAATACAGTGAAAGAGAACAGCCTAATAACATAAAATAAATAACAGCTTTTTATATGGACACATAAGCATCAATCATGCTTGATTAAAGTGGATTCCTTATCCTCTAAACACGGGCTTTCAAGAGTCTCTTAAAAAAACTGTTTAAACCCTCTACTCCCATATATTATTATGTCCTACCATATGTAAGTAAACCTCAATGTGCATTTTATTGAGACATTGCTTCACTGGTCTGTAAATTTTTAAGCAATGGATTAAGAAAGGACATTTTAAAGTCAAATTTAAGTACTTCTCTATTACTCTAAAAATAAGAAAAATGTGTTAACATATTTATGAGAAAATAAAAGTATTCTCTAACTCCTCATAAACCTTCTACACTAAATATATTTTTAAAAATTAATAAAAGAGAAAATATTCTCAACAAGGGTAAACTGAAATTTTGACCATTATTTCTAACGACCTATTACTATCAGCAGAACTGACTTAGCTATTGTGTTCTATTTTCCCAAGACTGAATTAGATTTACATGAGCAGTTGCCCTGATATAACTCAAAAATAATTTACTTTTATAATAATGACCAATGATACAAAGAAAATAAGATCTCTAAGTGTTTAACTATAGAAAATAAAGGTGAGGTATACAGATATCTTTTTGTCCTTGATAGAGTCTTGAGTATAAAATTTTATAAGTTCTGAATATAAAATTTGTAAAATAAAACTGTTTTCATATTTTTCACTAAAGAGAATTTTTATTTAAATTTCTTTAAATTCCTAATTAAAATTGAAAGACTATTTGTTCTTAGACCTTTAAAACTGAAAACTAGAACTGGAACAAAAATGACAGATTATCAGTATACCCCTGAAAAATTAATATTGTAGGCCTCTCCTTTTAAAACCTGTCTTAAATGGTGCATACTAAATAAGTCAAGTTTTCAGCAGATCCCCAGCCTCTTACAGAAAGCACTCACCTGCTGGTGTATCTTGGCCTTCTCTAAGTCCAGGCCACCATCCGGAGCAAAAGTACCAGCCAGCAATTCTTCAGCTTCTGTCACCCAGTGTGTGAGGTCATTAAGGTCACAGTGGAACTGCCTCCATTCCTCCATAGCCCTATCAAAATAACTAAGGGACGACAAGCAAATAAAATAGGTTTCCAAACTTTCCAGGACCGTCTAGAAGCGATTTTCTAAAAAGGAAATTCAAATCTCATTTAAACTGAAAGCCTCAAAATGAGTGAATTCACAGCTCACTGCTCTATAAGACCAGTTTTTGTAATGGATTACTGTTAATGATTCCTCTTAGAGAAACATGCATCATACCAAGAGTAAAGCAATCTGCATACACCCCGCCCCCCTCACATTCATGCACACAGACACACACACACACACACACTGTCTATTCTAACTGAATAGACAGGCATCTCTGGCTGCAAAAATCAAGATAGATTAGCTGCAGGCATGTTAACCCACCCAACTTTGAACACAACAGTTCAGATATCGTGAAATGTAAAATATGATTAATTACTTTATTCTCTTAAGAAAAAAATAGGGTATTTTATTTCCCGAACACTTAGTTCCCACCTAGAACAAAACCTAAAGGCCAAAACACTTCAAAATTTCCTTGCAGTCTATTAACTCTGTGCTACAGACTGAATTGTGTACCCCCCAAAATCCATATGTTGAAGCCCTAACCACTAACATGACTATATTTGGAGACAGGATGTTTAGGGAGGTAATTAAGGTTAAATGTGATCATAAGGGTTAGTTGCTCAGTCATATCCGACTCGTTGTGACCCCAGGCACTGTGGCCCAGCAGGCTCTTCTGGCCATGGGATTTCCCAGGCAAGAATACTGGAGTGGGCTGCCATTTGCTTCTCCAGGGGATCTTCCTGACCCAGGGATTAAACCCACAGCTCCTGCATTGCAGGTGTATTCTTTACCATCTGAGCCACCGGGGAAGTCCAAATGAGGTCGTATCGGTAACTAATCCCATAGGACTGTTGTCCTAATAAGAGAAAGAGACATCAGAAATCTCTGTGTGTATCTCTTTCTGTATCTCTGCTGTCTGTCTGCCTGTCTCTCTCTCTCTCTCTCTCTCTCTCTCTCTCTGCAAGAGCACAGAGCAAAGACATGTAAGGACACAGCAAGAAGGTGGCCATCTGCAGGCCAGGAAGAGAAGCCTCACCAGAAGCTGAGTTCTGCTGGTACCTTGACCTTGGACCTCCAGCCTCCAGAACCGAGAGAAAATAAATGTCTGTTGTTTAGGCCATCTGCAGTATCTTATGATGGCGGCCCTAGCAGACTAACGTATACTCTGTGCGGTAACTAACCTGTGTCTTACTGATCGGAACACACAGCAGGATGGGAGTAGCTGCAAAGCTCAGGTTAGGCAATGAGACAAAGACTACTAAGACTTCTATTCAAACCTAACTCGTTAGAAATGAGATAAAGTCAGACTCCGGTGCTTGCCGTATCTGGAACAAAATAAAATAAGTATGAGGAGGAAAAGCCTTCTTGGCTTGGGATCCTATGTCATTTCTGTCTGCCTTTTTATTTAGAATAGTGGTACCAGGAGAAGTTTAGAAGAGATCTCAGAAATTTTAGTGATAACACAAAATAGTTTGTAATAAAAAGGTAATATTAGTATTTTCAAAAAGCAATAAAATGGTCCCTAACATTGCTAACTCCTAAATAATGTTTATGTTTCCTTCTTCCATGAAAATCATTTTGAAAATTCAGTTAATATTTGCTGAGTGCCCACAAGGAAGCAACATTCTATTGGGCATGACAAAAATAAGAGCACTTCAAACAAAACATGATGGGAAGATATTAAGATAATCTTCACTATAATTTGTAAAAACATAGCAAACATAAATTCTAACTTCTGAGATGGTGCAGTGTGAATAGAAAATATTGCTAGAAAGGCTGCTCCAAAGATCTAAAGACTGAGAATAGAAATGTTAAACTTAGTAAAGATCATTACCATCAAAACAGAACATAAATTCCAAATAAATCTAAGCATCATACTTGTAGATTTTACATTAAAAGAAAAAAAAAAAAAACGACAGAGAGATCCATGTTCAGATGGGATTCAAAGAACCGTCTCATCCTCTCTAATCCAGCCAGTTTATACAGGAGGCAGCAGGGAACTGCGAAAGACCATGGACTTCCAGAGACCCATAGGACTCAAAATACAAGTCTTATCCGATCTATGGTTTGTATTTGAAACAGAAGCATGTAAGTTTACTGTCTCTAATATTCCAACTTGATATATTCCCTCCCAAACTCATCTTCCTGCAAAGGAGGCATAAAGGAGTTCTCAAAGAAAGATATCTGTTTATTTTCAAGGTATTTATCTTTTACCACAGACCAATAATACTTATAAAAAATTCATAGGCAAAACAGCATAGAGACCTTGTGTAGACAAATGGACTTGGTGATCAGCAGGTGTAATTATCACCTATAACTGAAACCATGTAAGCACAGTATATTTGCCATTGCCTTGATATTCTATGAAACCAATAATACTTATAAAAAATTCATAGGCAAAACAGCATAGAGACCTTGTGTAGACAAATGGACTTGGTGATCAGCAGGTGTAATTATCACCTATAACTGAAACCATGTAAGCACAGGATATTTGCCATTGCCTTGATATTCTATGAAAAACAGAATAGAAAGGACTACTCAAGTATTGCTGTAAAACTAGATATACAGGAAAGGGGGAAAATAAACATTTTAGGATAGATTACCAAGGTTGGAAGAGGAAAGCAAAAACAAAAATTAGAGGCATGAATAAGAACATAAACAACTAATGCATTCAAGTGCTGGGCCAAACCAAATACAAGAGACAACCTCCCAGCAAATGAAATCTAGTAAGCATGGAAAACAATAATAAATTTAAATAAAATTAAAATGTGATAGAGAAGAATTTTCTAACATAAGAAAACACTATTCTTGCTTGGGCCTGGTGCACTGGGAAGACCCAGAGAAATCGGGTGGAGAGGGAGGTGGGAGGGAGGATCGGGATGGGGAATACATGTAAATCCATGGCTGATTCATGTCAATGTATGACAAAAACCACTACAATATTGTAAAATAATTAGCCTCCAACTAATAAAAACAAATGAAAAGTAAAAAAAAAAAAAAGAAAGAAAAAAAAGAAAACACTGTTCTGTTCTCATCTCAATTTTAAAAAATCTAGGAAAAAACTATTTGCTAAAATTTTTATAATCACAAAAATGGCATGAATATTGGCAATCAACATAATTCACAACGTCCTTGAAATTCTGCCACATTAGCCAGATGCATATATGGAAATAGAATAACTGAAAAAAGAAGAAACATAATCACACATACAACTGATGTGTCATAAGAAAGGCTAAGAAAATAAATTTTATACCCATATACCGAGGTGTACACACACACACACACAAATACACATAGTGCAGAAGATGCAGAAGAAATCTACCATACATCAATTCTACAAAACAAACAAAAAAAGCACAAAACTACCAAGCAATAGTCCTAGAGAGAAAGATGTAGACAAACCTTCAAAACCTTACTGAAGACACAGAAAGGATCTAAATGAATGAAAGACTGCATTTCAAATTGACCATTTTTTCTAAAACTGATTGAAATGACTAAAATTTTACTGGAAGAATAAATATAGAAAAAGAGTATGAATTTTAATGTTAGAATAATTAGGGGAAATCTACTGTGGTGGATTAAGAAAATGTATAATGCTTTAAAAATGAAAATACTATGGTATTAGATTAAAATTGATGGTGTGATAAGGTGGACTTAGCAAAATTAAGTAAATATAAAGTAGAAATGCCTTTAAGTGTATGACAAAGGAAGTATCACCAACAATAATGGAGAGCTGGATTATTCAGCAAAATGTATAGAGAAAATTGGCTGTTCATTTAAGGAAAATAAAGCAAAATAGAACAGATTAGTGTTTAACTCAGGCTCCACAAAAAAAGTCAGCTGGGAAGTGTTCAAGACTTAGATAAGCAGGGTCTCTACTCTTGCTACTAAAGAGTTGGTGTATACAGACATACAGAACAGACGTGTGGTTGCAAGGGGGAGGAGAGGTGGTGGAGAGTCAGACTAAGAGTTTGGGATTAGCAGAGGCAAACTACTACACCCAGAATGGATAATCAACAAGGTCCTACTTTATAAGGAACCATAATGACAATAGCAAAGCATTTTTAAAAAGAGTTGGTGTATAGAAACACCAAAGCTGTTCTGTGAAAAAAGGCATGGGTGTTATGATAGTTCAGTTCAGTTCAGTCGCTCAGTAATGTCCAACTCTTAGAGACCCCATGAACTGCAGAGGCCCAGGCTTCCCTGTACATCACCAAATCCCAGAGCTTACTCAAATTCATGTCCATTGAATCGATGACGCCATCCAACCATCTCATCTTCTGTTGTCCCCTTCACCTCCTCCCTTCAATCTTACCCAGTATCAGGGTCTTTTCCAAGGAGTCAGTTCGTCGCACCAGGGGGCCAAAGAATTGGAGCCTTCAGCTTCAGCATCAGTCCTTCCAATGAATATTCAGGACTGATTTCCTTGAGGATTGATTGGTTTGATTGCCTTTCAGTCCAAGGGACTCTCAAGAGTCTTCTCCAACACCACAGTTCAAAAGCATCAATTCTTCACCACTCAGCCTTCTTTATGTTCCAATTCTCACATCCATACATGACTACTGGAAAAAGTATAGCTTTGACTAGATGGACCTTTGTTGGCAAAGTAATGTCACTGCTTTTTGATATGCTGTCTAGGTTGGTCATAGCTTTTCTTCCAAGGAGGAAGTATCTTTTAATTTCATGGCTGCAATCACCATCTGCAGTGATTTTGGAGCCCAAGAAAATAAAGTCTCTCACTGTTTACATTGTTTCCCCATCTCTTTGCCATGAAATGATAGGACCAAATGCCATGATCCTAGTTTTCTGAATGTTGACTTTTAAGCCAACATTTCACTCTCCTCTTTCACTTTCATCAAGAGGCTCTTTAGTTCTTC